ACCTTTGACCAGCAGCGACGTGTACCACAGGTGTTCAACTACAGCTGTACGGACATAAAGCTTTCATGTATTTAGATATCACATGAGATATGTTAATAGTACGCCTGAACTTTAGGGACACCGTATCCTACCAAGTTCCACCTTAAACACGCACCAAGTTAAATTTTGTCGGTATAATTTTAACTTCAAAGGCTAAAATCGCATTTATTGAAACATCGGAAAACAACTTTGTAAAAAATAAAATATCATGCCTTCTGATCACAGAGTAAAACATTGACGACTCACAAACTCAACTTATTTCCATTACTGACGAAATTGAATGGAAACTCAGCGAACTTCGGATTTCTTATCAAACTGCAAAAGTAAGTCGAAGTGTAAGTTTTATATTACAAAACCTGCAAAATGTATCCAGCGAAACTAAAACAAAGAATGGAAGGTAAGACCTGACAATGATTTCATTATTCACAACTTCTGTAACTATTCTGACGAAGACGAACTGGCTGGAAGTCTAGCTTGAAACATAGTTCAGATATTTGTCTCGGCTCCGTCTAGGCGGACACCCGGTGTTAATTAACTTCGAGTTACATAGTTAGCGGCGCAAAACGAACAGAGTACTAGCTGAGTCCTCAGCAGTACCTGAGCTCGCGATCAATGGATTTATAATATATACTAAACATAAACTCGACCGACATTATTAACTATAACTACTTTACATTAAACTTTCACGATTATATCGTACATGTAACTTTAAGTTTTATTTTGGTTTTACTTACGCAATGGCCCTCTGAGGCCGACTAAGTATGAAGATATAATATCCTAGCATTAATTTAATATCAAAAGGTAATATTTTGTTTGATTTATACATATAATCAACTCAATTATAGAGCTATAGCCAATTAACTCTAAGCCCACCTTGCAATAAACCAAGACCTCCGGGTTGACCACTCGACTAATGGGCGGTTTCAACTAGAACTATCGGTTGCAAACTATTCCCGGCTACATTCAATAGGAACAATGTTTTGTTTTATTTATGTATTTTGATATTATCCCATGAATTGACCTAGAGTCCAACAAAACTGAAATATGTCGTGGTTTATTATAAGCAATTTGTGGAGCGTACATGTAATTTTCTTCAAGAAAAAATGTGACATTCATTTATAACTTTCATAATCTGGATACAAATGTAAGATAATAGAAAGAGATATTTATGATTGTTTTTAAGATAGGGTTAATAAATCCATCGTAAAACAACATCTTTATTATCCTAATGGTAGTTCTATAATTAAGGAACCTACTTATTAAGACGGGAAGTTTATTTAATCCGAAATAATTAATTACGACGCTGATCTTAAGTACAAAATGGATTTCTGAGAACTTCTAAATGAGTCTTAAAGATATTATTTAAATAGGGGAGGCACGGAGTACCCGCGGCCCTTCCTTGCTTCCTTTACGCACCATGCATTCATCAATTATAAAAAGTACAAAACTTTTGACGTAACTTTCACATCTCATGGATAATGAAAACAATAATAAATGGTCTCGAGAGAAAACACGTTATGATTTTATTTTGTAGACCGTGAACAATTCGCTTAATAATTGTTTGTTCATTTTATACGGAAAGCGGCAAAAGAGTAGTAAACATCTAAACATTGCGGTGTTATTGTGTAAAGAATAGCAACTACAAAGTGTTATATGTAGTTAGTGACTGGCTGCATTAATGGCAGTATCTGTCTAACACTTATTGTAACTTAAAATGTAGGTATGTCCTACATTTTAAGTTACAATAAGTGTTAGACTTATAGTATCATAATATAATAATATTCCGGTAGAATACGTTTCTTAATGAAAAGTTTTTGTATAAAGAAAATACTTACATGTAAAAATCATTCCATTTTTATTTATTTTTAATTAAAGGTTTTTCTTACAAAACAGTAATATTACTAGTTAGTCTACCACGTGGGTTTAAAGCATCAACTCACAAGATTAAACAACGACAACTTTAAAAGACATCCACTTAGTTAATGAATGATATCAGCGTAGTTGGAAATAGGCCTCTCATTGCACACACGGTCGGCGTGCCGCGTCCAGTGTCCCTCATATACATACATAATGTGACGTAATAAAGCGAGCCCGACACTCGCCTGTTGCCTTCCGACTACCGACACATTGGAAGTATCCTACTACTGAGGATTAATACACGCCAGTGGTTTGGCGCAAACTTGGATTACGCGGACTACCCGCCGTAATTAGTTTTGATGGTTCACAATACAAACAATACTTAGATGCATGTATGTAAATTTGACATAGGGAGTGGAAAGCAGTGCATTTTATTTTAAATAGTTAATATTAAACGCTTCACAATTGAATTATTTATTGGGGTTAATATAAGAATGATAAATATTATCGTACATGTTGGTGTCCATCGATTGTCAAAAAAAGTTCTGGCAAACCTAGTCCATGAAATGTTACGAATCATTACGCGGATAACTTTGCTGTCAATAAAGACTTACATAAATTACTTTATACAATACTCCTTAGATGAGTAAATACCGCAAATAAAATCGACGGATGACGTATGGGCCACACATGTCGTTTCGTTTTCATGTGTTTTCCATTATTAATACAAACTCCGAGATATATAGTAACTAAGTAAGAACGAGGCACCTACTTATCTTCTGTAAACAGTATCTATAAGTAAGTATACAGCCATTGTTTCCGACTTGACATCTCCCGGTGATTCGGATTCTGAACACGAGTCGGTAGTAAATTTCTTTCTCCCATTTTGTTTGGTTTCCTATAGAGACTAGCGGCTCGGCCAACAAAATTGTTACGAGATCAACTTCATCTGATAATCTTGGGACCTACACTAATTTTAACTAGAATCTGATAAAGACCCATATTTATTGTTACCTACATTATAATTGGCTTTTATCTTTGATGTAGTGAGTGTAATCAAAATAGGCCTTTTTCACGACAAAACAATTAACGATAAAGTAATTATGTAACTCCATTCTTTATGTTTATTATTTTTCGCATCAATCGCTTCATATCTCTGCACTTCCCTATGGTTGACTGTTAGAGAACGCCTTCAGTCATTAGAAGTTCGCCATTCTCTGTCATTTTGTGTGAAGAAGAAATAAATCATATTATTCGTGTAGGTACCTACTTTTTAAATACACAAACACAGTATGAACAATCGAATAGAACATAAACAATTAAAATAACAGTTTTTTTAAACAAACATCTGTAGACTTAAATTGCAATCAATATACCTATTGAACGTAATAATTTAAATTTAATTAAATTTCTCGTAAAGCAGACAGGTGTCCATTTGTCGGCTGTGTAACACTATTTGTCAGCGGCGAGCGCGCGGCTCTTGCGCACCCGACCGGAAACAGTGACGAAAGAAATCGATCAGAAGAAATTTATTTAGACAAAAGACAATAAAAAAATGAGGGCGACTGCTTCGCAACTTGGCCTTGACTGGGGACGCCCTTGACTCTAGTGAAAACAGTCGCGACTTCTGAGAGCTCATCAATGTTAAACGTACTAGCGCATGGAAATCTACGACTAGCGCATTTATTTGATTAAGCGCAAGATCTTGACATGTTACACACTTAAGAACTTATTTTACTGTCAAATTTTACTCTTACTCTGAATATTCATTAAATGATAAATAGGCACTTAGTGTTTATATCTGAATTTCATATCTCTATATCAATGTCCCGTGAACATTTTTACAGCTTTTTACTCTGAAAATATCTGATATTGAGATAATATGTATCTACCTGACCTCAAGTATTCAGATATATGTCGTTATGGAATATTTTAAAACAACAATAAGAAGTGATGAGTATTTAAAATATGTATTTTGTGTTATACATTATCAATTTAAGCAACGCGAAAATATTTTTTAATTTCAGCAAATAAATATGGGAGCTAAGTGTACACACTACGCATTAATTTATTCCATGACCCGAGTGCGTGACGGATCGACGCAAAGTTCAAATTGTATCAAAAGTTTGTACTCGTCGTCGCCGGATCTTCGATGGTAGTTTATCCAAACTCTCCCTCGTTTTGGTATAAGCTTAAATTTCATGAATTTTAATTTGAGTAACTTCCCAATGCTAACACAGATGTAGTAAGAAGTCTGCTACGGTCGATTGAAGAATTATTATGTTTATTTCATTCTGTACTTATTTGACGGTAATTATGATAACCATGTATCCATGAACTAATTTTAATGAACATTTTAAAACGTCCGTATTGTAACGACAAACGTTGATAAATTGCACTTAACTTCATTTTATGTTCGACGACTATATTTATGTATCGTGGCTGATGTGGTGCAACGCGTATTAACATGCAGAATATTACGTTAAATGAAACTTAATTTATTAGCCCCATCCCATATTTACCTATAGCTATCTCGTTATTCTTGTCCTGAGTTTAGTAAAATATTAAACTCTACATTTTATATACGCCCGTGCACTGTAACTTCATCATTAAAATGCTTGTGACATTTTTTATAAAAAACTGTATCACATAATAATAAAAGTAACCTGTGTAAATACATAGATATTTTATGGTTCGTCCATTCCATAATCGTCGAATGTGCACGAATGATCCAGACATAGGTACCATATTTATCATACACATTAACTGTTCGAAATCTTTTGTGCACAATATATTGTAGTATTATAGTAGGTATGAGGAAAGTGATTGGACAATGATAAAATTTAAGAAATAAATATGTTTATACAACTTACTCAATTGATTCGTTTTAATTAAATATGCGTTGAATAGTTAAGTAATGCAATATAATGCACTATTTCGAAGACCGAAACATTTTCATTGATAGGTATTTATTATTTAAAATATATTCAGGTCAGTCGTGTACCTGTGACCGTCACTCATTACCCTGACATTAAAAGCAACACTATTATTGGCAATACTATATAAGCTCAGAAGAAATCGTAACAGGCATCATTTGGCAATCATTGCCCAATAGAACCGGGACAACAGTTCAGGATGAAAGCCACCGTCGTTTGCTTGTTGGTACTCGTAGTCGCGGTCTGCGCCAGGGACATGCGCCTCAGGCGGGACCTCGATTTACAAACTGCAGCTTCCACAAATGGGAGAAGGGTGATGGCGGAGAATATCATGGACATCACCACGACGAGCACGGTGGACACGGTGAGAAGGGATACAAAGGATACCATGGTCATGAGCACGGTAAAAAAGGACACTCCGACCACGAAGGACATAAAGGACACTATGACGAAAGCGGAGGACACAAGAAACACCATCATCACGACGATGGCTACTACGATGAACATCATCATGGCGAGAAAGGCGAAAAAGGTCACGGTTTTGAAGAAAAGGGACATTTTCACAAGGGCCATTCCACCAAAGGACATCACGGTATCCACAAAATAGACGAGTTTAAGAAAGATAAACATTTCCATGATAAACACGGTGAATCAGGATTCGAAGAAGGATACGGTGGACATCACCACGAAGGAGGTTACAAAGAGGGTGGACACTTCGACAAAGGACACAAAGAAGGTGGCTTCCATGAACATGAGCACGGTAACAAGGGCTCCTTTGAAAAGGGTGGTCATCACCACGACCATAAGGGTCACCACGATGAAGGTGCCGGGCACGAGTACTGGGGACACCATGAGGACCACGGCAGCAAGGGAGGTCATGAGGACCACAAAGGTTGGGGCTTTAAGAAAGGTCACAAATAAGTTACTGCTTTGATATTATAAGATGAGGGTTTTTGTTATTGTTGATACTTTGTGATACACAAATAAATATTTATTTTACAAATCTTAGAAAATTATTTCATTAGGTAATGGCATAGAATGTATATTTAGAACCAAAGCGGATAAGCTTAAGTTAATTCCTAATTTATTCATCGTTACAGTATTCAAGTACAAATATAGAAGTCTCAAAAATGTTTAGTAAACATAATGATAGTAGCTAAGCATTTAAACAAGCATTAAGAATACTCAAATATGGTCAGTTAATGCTTAGGGAATACTAACAAAACAGGATAAAAGGAAGGTCAGCGGTCTGCCTTTTAAATAAAATAGTTCTAAACTAGCATTAAGTTTATTAGCTACGGCTTTATAAAACTAACAACGCGGGACTCTCGAAAAGCGGCAGCTGTTGAAATCCCCGCTGAATACCTGATCCAGTGTCCTAGGCGAGTGGCTGGCTACTAAAAAGTATCCAATATTTTCACTACCTACTCTTTGCGTAGATACCGACATTACGTAATAAAATGTTAGTTATTATAACTAACACCGGAGAACACTCTTAAAATAATTCATTCCATTTATGCGGAATCCATTTCCAATCCAATCCAATCCACCACAAACGAATCTATTTAATCTAGTTTAACTAGTCGTTGATTTTTTTATGTGACCCGAATATGTCGTAGGGATAAACTACCTTTTCTATTTAATAACAAGACTATAAATGAGTTATAGGAAAACGCGACACGCGTTTTCCTATAACTCATTTATAATCTGACGCGACACGCGTTTTCCTATGCATAGATAAAAGAGCATCTTGTCCTCATAAAAACCACATAGCTTTAAAGACTTTGTCTTGAAAACTAAATTAGAAATGTAAGAAAATACAAAACCTATGTAGTTTCTACAATCTGCAAACCATTTTAGTATTGAAAATTGTGGTACAATCATTCAAATTATACAATAATATACAATAATATATTTGTATAGAGAAAGTTTTCATTGCGGACACAAAATTTTTTTTATCACAATACCCTAAAAACAATATAGTGATGTGACATGTGTGGTTTAGTTCAAAATACTAAAGCACACGCGACTTTGCTGACATTATCTCGGTAAGTAGTTGATTGTATCGTTGTTCACATTCCGTATGAATTCTTGTTTTTATGAAGTTTCCTTCTAGCGCCAACACAATCTCAAGCGATAGGAATCAAATGTCCACAAAGACCATTGTTTCAGCTACATTTAGTATATTATTTGAGTATTACACCAACTACTTACGTACCTACGGCAAGCTTAAAATAGTAAACTACAGCCATGATATTTTACCAAATTGTACGATAATATTGCAGACAGGATTATGACTAGATATATACGCATCGTGCTAAAGTTCGTGTACAGAATAGACGCATGGTTAAGATGATTTAATTTTGAGCTGATAGGAAAGCGACATGTGAGGTTTAAGGGATCATCATTGTGTACACGCAATAATAAAACGGAGAAGCGTAGACAAGTATGTGTCAGCTACCTTTTTGCTTTAATCTTCTGTACCCATGAATTTGTATTGATTTATTTTCAAGCGACTTCAAAAAAAGGAGGAGGTTCTCAATTCGACTGTATTTTTTTTATGTTTGTTACTCGATTATTCGAAGACGCCTAGACAGATTTAAAAAAATCTTTTTTGTTTGAAAGGGTAGGCTTGTCATTTGGTCTCATTGTCATGAAATTAGGATCTGATGAGAGAATCCCAGGGGAACGAAGGGGAACTAAACTAACTAACGAAAAAATTATAGGAGGGACTAATGCATTTGTTAATTTTTCGTTAAGTATTTAAAGCCAATACAATCTGATAAAGGTCTAGAGTTGATCTGGTGATGGAGCCGAGAGCCAGTCGAGGGAACTCTTCAGCGGTTACTAGTAGCTATTATATGTTTGGGTTTGATTAATTCGTATTAATGAGGACTTTATACCTAGGTGGTATGTGATTGCCAATAAGGGTCTGATGATGAAGTAGTACCATAGGTGAGGGAATTCCTCAACGGTTAACAGTCGTTATCTTATGTTTGAGTTTGATTAATTTGTATTGATGAGGACTAGGTTATAACCTAGGTGTGGTGTGGTTGTCACTAAATATCCAATGATGAAGTAGTATAATAGCTAAAAGAACAATGGTTAACAGTAGCTACCTGGTGTTTGAGATTAAATAATATGTATTAATGAAACCTTTGCAGCGATGTGGGTTGTGCATAATATAATATATTCTAGTATCAAATTTAAAAATATAAAAAAAATAAAAAACTGCGTTTAAAAAAACCGACTTCACAAACTAAAAACAAACGAAAAATAAAAACTTAAAAGCAAAAAATAACTATTATTGGTCATACGTACTTATAGCTTACACATCCACTGATAAGTTAGAAGTCGGTGCCACAAACCCATAACAAAATATATCTTAGATACTGGTCACAGGTATATCCATTATAAAATTGTAACCAGCTTAATAATGTTAAGTATCTTTTAAGGTTTTAATGAATAATTTTGTGTAAAACTTGTGGCACCGACTTCTCACCTATCAGTGAGTGTGTAAGCTATAAGAGTACGTATGACCAATAATAGTTATTTTTTCCTTTTTAGTTCTTACTTTTTGTTTGTTTTTAATTTTTGAAGTCGGTTTTTTTAAACGCAGTTTTTTATTTTTATTTAATATGAAGTTTAGTCATTTTTATCTAAAAAAATACTTAATTTAAACTAATGTAAGGTATAAAATATTATGGCGAATGCCTAATAACTAATTAGCTATAGAAAAAAATATTTGCCTTTCATTAGTCTCGCTAAAACTCGAGAACGGGTGAATTTGCTAATTTTGGTCTTGAAATGTTCGTGTGAAAGTCCAGGGAAGGTTTAAGCGATGAGAAAAACAATGTATGCGGTACGAAGTTTGCCAGGTCAGCTATTTTTACCGACTTCAAAAAAAGGAGAAGGTTTTTTTGTTTGTTCGCCGATTACTCCGCCATTTGTAAACCGATTTTCAAAATTCTTATTTTGTTTGAAAGGGTATACTCTCGAGATGGTCCCTGGAATCCTAGGGAAACCGGAGGGAACTTTCGAAAATTGAAGGGGCGAGTAATGCGACTATTATATTTTTCAATTAGGACTAAACACTACATTTTAATAAGGCTCTGGAGTTGACCTGATGATGGAGCTGACAGACAGTCGAAAGGACTCCTCAACGGTTTACATTAACTACCTTGTGTTTGGGCTTGATTAATTTGTATTGATGAGGACTTTACACCTAGACAGAGTGGGACTGTCATTAAGGGTCTGATGATGAAGAAGTGTAATTGTTAAGGGAACTCTTCAACGGTATACAGTAACTACCTTGGGTAACCTATCAGTACTAATAATCGTTATTTTTTGGTTTTTAGTTTTGACATTTTGTTTGTTATTAGTTTGTGGTTTTTTTTTGAAGTCAGTTTTTATAGTAATTATAACTCCACATACCCAACCAAGTTGGAAGTGACTCCGGGTCACATTTAATCAAAAACTAGATATTCATTCGGTACATACCGATCGGAGAAATTCCTTTTCGGATCCGATAACGGTCACAAAGATAATGACATTCCTAACTCCCTCCTCCATTATTGGCATTTCATATTGCATGGCAATATTTATTTAATGTCTTTTTCATCGCTTTCCTACTGAAATAAAAATAGCGGCTTATGATAAAAATAGATTATATGTGAATGCTTTCGAGGCAACGACTATTTCTGGAAACTCTTTCAACATTTATACGGTCTGGGAATGGTATCACCCCTTCTTAAACGAAATTTATAACATAACTGGTGAAAAATTCATACACTAACATTCACTTACACCCACTACCGCCATTAATAATTTTTGAAAAATTTCAATCCGCAAATTATATTATTAGTACCTCTTATGTATATATGTATGTATTGATATGTATTTTTAGTAAGGTCGGTTTATCTACAAAATCATTAGAATAGCAGGCTTACTAATTCAAAATGAATGTAATTATGTTTGAGAACTAGCAAGTAAGTGGAATGTAATGCTTACCAAATGGGGTATGTAACGTACTGGCTGCACTTATGTAAATGCCGGAGCCACATATCCTGAATGTAACTGGGCGTACAATTATAGCCTGTTGCGCAACAAACCAACCATCCATTGTGGAGATTTTGGATACCATTCTGATATATAGGCTAACGTACGGAACAAGTGTGATGATTTATAATAGCTGCAACATTTGCTTCAACTGAGAAAGGAGGTGATCCTTTATTCCGTAATCGTTAAGTTTTCCTAATGTCGACTATGTAAATGTTAATGTTAACCAAATTCCGCATACACTGCCCAGAATGCTTAGTAAAATTAATTGACGGTGCTTTGTGCGTTGCTGTCATCTTTGTTGTCTCATCTCAGCAGAAAACTCCACTGGCAGAGAAACAAATAAAAAAGTACACCGCAAAGGTTTTTCGAAACGTTTGTAAATCTGTTAGCTTACTTAATAATATCACGTTCATGGTATCAACTAGAAGCTCTCGACGTTACAGATAAAGTCAAAAAACAAAGATGAATCACAAGGAAAGAGGACGAATGCGGAACTTCGTGACGTAGAGTACAGATGTATATTAAATATACATAGAACTCATTTATCATTTCCAATGGATTTTGCCGGTATGCCAGTCATTTGGCAAATGAGATAAAAGTGATGAAAATGTACAAATCATATTCTTCACTCCTCAAAAATATTCTTTTACATTTTAGTTTAAATTAATAATAAGTACTCTATTTTTTGCATAGGTACTTTTTTGTCAAATATAATTATGGAGTATTTAAAAATTGCCTGCGTAGCTACAATCAACGTAGTTACGTGGCTTTCGTTTCTTGGAATCCGTTGTTTTAAGAAAAAAATACAACATCTTTATTCTTCGAAGAAAATAGAATATCTTATTCGAAGATTTGTAATTATTATTATATTATATTTTATTTAAAATTATTTACTTTATTACTTAGTCCTAAATATACACGTAAGAACAAATACATTTCATATTCGTTAAATAACTTCTCTATTATTTTCCTAAGAGCGACTGATTCGGAAGTTATATCATAATACACCGAATTTAGTAAAGGAAGGAAGTGGAAATTTCTGCGAGTTAGTTATAACAACCTTGACACTATCGGCAGCGTTGACTTACCTAACCACCGCTAGCGTTTAGTATATAAAATCATTGACATCGATGAATTGATATCATTCAGCACCAACTAGTCCAATCAACGATGAGAAGTAGCCTTCTTGTGGCATTTGGCCTTCTGGCCATAGCTGCCTTCAGCTCCGCCAGGGAAATCCGAGAAAAGAGGGCTGCTGACCTGGAAGCTGCCGCGTCGCATGGTCATCACTGGGATAAGGGTGGCGGCCACGAGCACCATGGACATCACCACGACGAGCATGGTGGCGGACACCATAAGGGACACAAAGGTCATCACGAGCACCACCACGGCAAACACGGCCATAGCCACCACGAGGGACACAAGGGTCACCACGGAGAGCACGGCGGACATAAGAAGCACCACCATCATGATGAAGGCTACCATGACCACCACCACCACGGAGAGAAGGGCGAGCACGGGCATGGACACGACGAGCACGGCCACTGGCACAAGGGACACGACACCAAAGGACACCACGGCGTTGAGAAACATGACGAGTTCAAGAAGGACAAGCACTTCCACGACCACCATGGCGAGAAAGGCTTCCATGAACACCACGGCGGCCACCACCACGAGGGCGGTTACAAGAAGGGCGGTCACTTCCACAAGGGCCACAAGCACGGTGGACATCACGAGCACCACCACGGCAAAAAGGGCCACCACGAAGAGGGCGGCCACCACCACCACCACAAGGGACACCACGGCGAGGGCGGCCACCACGAGCACTGGCATGGCCACCACGACCACGGCAAGAAAGGGGGCCACGAGCACCACAAGCACTGGGGACACAAGAAGGGCCACTAATCTGTTGCTCAATGTACCTGGACTGATATTTGTTGAACTTATGTTATATATGAGTATTTTTGTTATGTTTATACGAAAAAGAATTAAACTTTGTACAAAATAACTATTTGGTTTTTAATTTCAACCCAATAATTTAAAAATAATTCCATCTTTAAGATGAACATTGTATTGTGGTGTACTTTGTTAACAGATGAGAAATAAGAAATCACGAGTAAGAAGTATAAAGAATAATAAACATACGCCAATGATGTCATCCCATTAATGTGAAGTAACCTGAGCCAGCCGCCAGAGAGGGTGCTTTCTAAGACAATAGAATTAAATAATTATATATTTAACGAATGTTATTTTAATTACATTTTCATTTCTATATGCAAAGGGTCCTAATGAAATCTCCATTAACATCGAGTTTACGAATTCTATTGAAAATCGCTGCAACGCTAGGTCTAGGTCCTAGTCGATATATGTACATACTAGCTGTTTGCCCACGACTTCGTCCGCGAAGAATGTAAGTGTTAGTACGTAACTTTTTTTGTTTCAATTTTCCAAAATAAAAGTGGCCTATATTACTCGTTAGTACATTAGGGAACTGCCAATATATTCCTGTCAAAATCGGTCCAGCCTAACCAGAAATTAGCCAGTACAAACAGACAGACGGACAAAAAAATTTAAAAAAATTATTAATATCTATATCGTATGTATATTTATATGCATATTCATTTAGTAAAAAGCGGTTATTTTAATATTACAAACAAACACTCCAATTTTTTTTCCGGGCGAGATGGTGGACTATCGTATACAAATACAACGTATAAAATATCTGTATATTGTATTTATACCTTTACTTTTGATAGGCAACGCCTGAATTTTCAATATTCACTTTTAATTTTTGAAGTGATCATCTTGCTGTTATCTATTTATATATTTCCCCGAATAAACGGATGAATTGAAAATTCATGCCCATACTGGGAACAGTAGTTTGTGGATCATACATTTACCTAATTTGTTAGTTATCTGTAAAAATCAATTCCCTGCCAGCTACTTAACCACTCATGCAGACGCATAATTATTATATTTGTGTTACATAACATACCGTAACATCACGCTTTTTATTTCCAGAAGGATAAGACAGGGGTGCAAAATCCTCCTTTCACCACTTAGGCCTATTCCTATATCACATGCTCCGTGCTACTACGAATATTTTTTAAAAAAGTTAGAAATCTCAAAACGAATTTGCTTGACCCGAAATCAAATCTAACACCCCTTACTTTATTGAAACATCTCTAATATTTTTTTATTGGATAAGCCGGTAAACGATCAGACGGATCACCACATAATAAGGGTAAGTAATCGGCGGCATCCATGGACACCCGAGACACCAGAGGCGTTACAAGTACGTTATCGGCCTTTTAGGGTTAGGGATTTGAGGATTGTTGGGGATTCATGGATTAGGGGTATTTGGGCCTCTGGTATCCTCACTCAAACGACGAAACACAACGCAAGCGTTTTTTCACGTCTAATTTCCGTGAGGTCGTGGTATTACTCCGGTCGACCCGACCATATTCATGCCGAAGCATGGCTCTCTTACACTAAAGTGATAATAAAATTGAAAATAAAATAAAATTAATAACAGCTATACATAGATACTTTTCTAGAATTTATAATAAATTAGGAAACTACGTGCCCTATGGGATAAGAAAAATAACTGACAACTGAAGGAAAATAAAAATCATTTTCATTCATTTTTGGACTTAAGTACCATCATTTGAATCATATGGAAACTAAAGAAAATATGATATATTATAATCTTTTTATATTAAACAAAATCGTCTATGTATCTCTGATAACTAAGAGGAAAGCGAACTTGACTGCTTCTGTTTAAAAAAACCTGAGGCTCTTTCCCGATCTCATCTTAAATCTAACCTTTCTGTTGCCTCACAGAATACTGACTTTTACTCCTATTCCTTCACTGTTCATGCGGTGCGACTTTGGAATTCCCTACCACCTAACATCCGTGACTCTAAATCTATCCCTATCTTTTAAAGACTCGTAAGGGAGCATTACCTTTCCTCATCTTGTGCAAATTAGTGTCATATATGTATGTATAATATGTTTATTTGTATATTGTATATATTGTATATTGTATGTATAATATGTTTACTCTCATATGTGTATTATTTGATGTGTATCTATCATATATCTATGTATTTTATTGAGATCTATTTATTCAATACATTATTTATCGGTTATATATATTTTGTGTATGTAGTTTTAAGTACTTATTGGCTTAAATTTTGGTAATTTTTGTTTTTTTTTTGTTCATGCTATGTTACACACAGTGTCTTAGTTTTTACTGTTTTTCCTGTCGAAGAACTGCAGGAAGAGATTCCTACGGGAATATGTAGTGCCTATGTACCTCCAAATTATTTATATATGTATTCTCCTGTGTACTGTATGTGTGTTGTGCATAAATAAATAAATAAAATCAATACAGTCCTCATTGTGTTTTTATATCCTAAGATTTAATTCCACAATAGAATGGTGTTTGTAATTAACATTAAACACAGTAAAAGAATTTCCCCGACAATCAATAATACCTGTGGTAACCACTATCCGGTCAAAGCTGGTATCAAATAAATGCTCACCTGACACTAGGGCGCTTGACCTTGCTAGTAAGTAAGTGCAAGCACTCGAGTCAGTGCAACTATTGCCTAATGCAAGTACGAGAAAACCAGACCCACAGTATCTATAAAATGTAGTCGTAGCAATAATACGTGCCATATCTCATCTCGATCTGTTCAAGAATACAACAACCATGAAGGTGGCGCTCCTGCTGAGCCTGCTGGTGCTGGCGCTGGCAGCACTTGCTGATGCACGAAACCTGCGTGAGAAACGTGATGCAGATCTAGAGGCGGCCGCTTCCGGACACCATCACGAAAAGGGTGGTGGTAAGGAACACCATCATCATCATCACCATGACCACGAGGGACATGGACACAAAGGGTACAAAGGACATCATCACCATGAACATGGCAAGAAAGGTCACCACCACCATGAAGGACACAAGGGACACCATGAACACCACGGAGGCCACAAGAAACACCATCACCACGATGATGGACACCACCATGAGCACCATCACGGAGAAAAAGGCGAAAAAGGCCATGGTTTCGAAGAAAAGGGACACTATCACAAGGGACACTCTACGAAAGGACATCATGGTGTTCACAAACTAGACGAGTTTAAAAAGGACAAACACTTCCACCACAAACATGGTGAGTCAGGACACCATGAAGGCTACGGTGGCCACCATCATGAGCACGGACACAAGAAGGGTGGACACTTTGACAAAGGACACAAGCATCACGGACATCACGAGCACCACCATGGCAAGAAGGGCCACCATGAAAAGGGAGGCCACCACCACGAACACAAGGGCCACCACGATGAGGGCGGCCACCACGAGCACCATCACCACCACAGTGGTCATGGCAAGAAGGGTGGACATGAAGACCACAAGCATTGGGGATTCAAGAAAGGACATTAAATATTAGTTAGCTAATTTATTAATGTACTTGTTGATAGACTTTTATTGTTATATTTGTTATACTTTTATAACCACAATGTAAATAAACACTGTTTTATGTGGAAGATATTTGATTTTTTGTAGCAAGTTGTAACACAAAAATTCATTAGAAACGATACCTACCTATGAAACTCCATCTGTGAATAACTTAATTATTAACAAGGAAAAATATTATAAACACAATAATTTCCGAAGTTTTAGTGCTTATTGGTAGTTAAACTTTTAAACTTACCTATAATGTAAATACTTTTGAACTGTAAACTACCAACGACCTTAATTGTTTTTTATAAGTTGCAATTAATTAAAACCATAGTTGTGATTTCATTTACAAATAAATAAATGAACATTAAAAAATGAAAAATTGTATGCACTTTACAATATATTATGTTTTATTTTCATTATAAAGCTGACAGATGCACTAGGCGAACGAAACATTCGAAACAAGCTACGAAATATCTAGTTTTTAAAATTCTCCGAAAAACGAGATGGAGCTTAGTTCAGGCACGGTGTACGACGACAGGGTCGGCAATGGGCTGGGTACCTGTTATGATTAATGACTACTGAAACGTAGATATGCAGCACTGTGTTTCTCTTCAAAGTAAGAATATGTAAAATTATCTTGTTAGAAATCTGAGCGTACACCTCTAGAGACAAACAAAAACAATGAGAACACGGCCTATATTTTCCCATAACTTTTCTAAGTTAACCCATGTGCATACGTAAGAAAGTTTTTTAGAACTTATAAAATAGATGTGAAAGATACCTCCATGAAATTTATATGGCCAACCAATGTGTGTAAGTCGTCTTGAAATAACCAAAATAATGTGTGGATTAATATAAATACTTACATAAAATGAAGGTTTTGAAAATCGTCGCGTCGTTGCAATGTTTTTATGGAAGGAAATTTCGGAAAATGAAATGAACCGGTGAAATATGTAACTGATTCTTTCACTCTAATATTACAATAACGAATATTTCTTTTTTAAACAACAGTCTTAGCTTACGAACACAGTGAGAGTTGTTAAATTATTAAAGGCTTTAATTAATTATTACAAGTCGGTGTATTGGTAATTCCACATTAGTTCACAAATCTGTGTGTGTTTTTGTTCTGTGGTTTATCTATGTTTTTTCTGAACTTTAGAAAAGCACATAATAAAATAATACCTTACTTTTGCCTTTTCCCTCAGTATGTGTTCTTTTTATTTTCTACTAGCGATCCGCCCCGGCTTCGCACGGGTACAATATGTATTATACATAATAAACCCTCCAAACCTTTCTTAAGAATCACTCTATCTATAAAAAAACGCTTCTAAATCCATTGCGTAGTTTTAAAGATCTAAGCATACCTACATATAGAGAGAGACAGACAGACGGCGGATTTTTTTTAAGGCTGGAAAATCATCGAATTACTTCTCCCGCCTGGGTGAGGCGGGAGGGAGTGTCAGACTCTTACTGACTAAAAACCACCCCGTTCCTTCTCCTGCACGTCGAGCAGGAGCCCCGGTAACCCGTTAGGTTCTCCGCGACTCCGAATCGGCATCGGCCCTGTTGGGCCCCATCTGTGGTGGTCTGATGGCTTTTTGAGGTGCGCGCGGAAGGCGACATGCCGTACGCTCGGGTCACTCTTACGGTGGCCGGAGATCGTCCCGCGATCCCCGACCCCCGGTGTATTCTTCGCAATGGCTGGGTTGCGAGGAGACAGCGCTTCGCTGCCTCACGCGTCCCGCCTCCTCCTTAGCTAGCATAACTGCTTCCCAAAAGGAGGAGACGGCATCCAGTCCCCCTCGCTCCGCATCATGACTGTGACATGACCTAGTGCACTAGGCCCGGATGCGAGAGGTTGCCATCGCCGATCACTTCCCTGAGGGCACGGCGGTGCTCAGCACACGCAGGGCATTCCCCCACTGTGTGTTCCACCGTGTCCTCAGGGCGGCCCTCGCAGTGATGGCACCCGGGCCTTTCCTCCCGCCCCATCAGACGGTGAGGATGTCCGGTGAGGACCTGCTTGTTTTATACTATGTAGTGATTGATATGAGTCAGTAACATGATGTTTATTGTTGATTTAATTTGTATTCTGTGGAGAATGCTGTTGGTTACGTATTTAATCAAACTACCTATTTTTTTTAATCGTGTAATTAGTCACTGTTTGTTTTCCCAAATGAATAAAATAAAATTAAAAATAAATGTCGTGAAAGTAATAAAAATAAACTTGCAATTTCAAATAACTTTTTCTTTCGTCTCGTCTTAAAACTATTTTTATTTAAAATAATGTGAGTGGCATAATATAAATATCTTCACTGTAATAAGCCCTGTTCTTACGTCTAGACTAGCTTTATACACTTATATATAGCTTTATACACTTTATACTAACTTTACACCTACCGCCTGACGCAGGTCCTCACCGGACATAGGAGTTTCGGGAGGTATCTGTGTCTGATAGAGCGGGAGGAAACGCCCGGGTGTCATCACTGCGAGGACAGGGTGGAACACACTGTAGGGGCTTATCCTGCCACTGTAGGGGATGTGATCGGCGATGGCGATGGCGACCGTCGCGAAGGACACTCCGGGCATCGGGGATCGCTGGACGATCTCTGGTCATCGTAAGCAGGGGCCTGCTGATCGCGAGCATGGGTAGCTTGCCGCCCGACCAGAACCAGACCACGCGCTCAAAGAGCCATCAGACCACCACGGATGGGGCCCAATAGGACTGATGCCGATACGAAGCCGCGGAGAACTTAACCTTTTTACCGGGGCTCCGGCTCGAAGTGCAGGAGTAGGAACAGGGTGGTTTTAGTCAGTAAGAATCTGACACTCCCTCCAGGCGGGAAAAGTAATTCGATGATTTTCCCCTCTTAAAAAAAAACCGTTGTACGCATACACATTATTAAAAATGTTTTAAATTTTCCCTAAAAACATGTGCATTGTAAAATATTAACGAAAAATTAAACTGAAATCCAAAATGAATGTAGACTAAACTATAATCACGTTTCCATCGAAATTTAAGTACTGGTTCATTCGTTTTTGTATTGTATAATAACATACCTAAACCATCAAACAAGTCGCGGAGAACCTAACGGGTAACCGGGGCTCCGGCTCGACGTGCAGGAGAAGGAACGGGGTGGTTTTTAGTCAGTAAGAGTCTGACACTCCCTTCCGCCTCACCCAGGCGGGAGCAGTCATTCGATGATTTTCCATCCTTAAAAAAAAACCATCAAACAAAACCTATTAAATCGATCGAAAATCGAAAATTGTACGTATCTCAAGTATTGTTAATAAATGATATATGTAAAAAGACTCATACAAAATGCGCCCTCTATTATTCGCAAAATTTTCCATCAGTATCTAATTAGATATACTATTAAAAATCTTATTACCTATAAAGTTATCAGCTAATTTTAAAACCTTTAATGCCTTAAAGCATAAAATTAACCTCCCTTAAATAGCATGAAATTATTAAAACGATTTGAATTGTAAACAAGGTGCTAAAAACCACGACACTTAGAGTTTTTGTAATCATACTAAGAGCTAGAAAACTGCAAATTGTATTACGCAAACTGATAATCTAGCAAATTAATTAAAGTAATGGCCATAGTTTTTGCTAACCAAACTTGAGTTGGTCATATCTCGTTATTCAGCACAAACAGATGGAACCCGTTTTAAAATTGTTTTTTATAAAAATGCAACTTTGAGACTTACTCATTTTCGCGACGAGTAGGTACTTATTATATTCTAACAGACGTTTTAGGCAAAGTCTAAATCAGTCTTCAGTTTATTTAGGCGTTTATGTATAGTAGGTAGTGCTGCTATATTTCAAATAGGTTGAATGTAAATAAAAAAGCAATGCAGTGAACGTCAATATCTACAATACAATCGTCATTTGCGCTTACAGTATGATTGCTACCATAATAATGCAAATATTCGATGATAATAATAATAAATATCTGTCATCTAAGTTATTTATTAGATATTTATGTAGGTACACGCACAAAAATGTCGCCGCAACGCCAGCTACACGCACAATGTGCTTTTAAAAGTATACAGGCGTTTTCTGATAGAACTCTTGAATGGATGTTGACGCTTCACAAAGATAGCTGGGCCAACACATTCATTATTCACTTGTTTGTCTTGTACACTATAACAATGGGGTGGAGCGCCATATGTTATGCCGAACTGTCCGTATGAACATGTCGTATTTCCCGGCACAACGACCGTCGATCGTAGATAACAAACAAAAATTGACACTCGAATATGATTTTTAGTGAAAAGTATATAATGACCGTATATCAAAGTATATAATAGACTCAAACTAACTTATAATGTTTCCTAAGTGTTTTTCCTCAGCCCCATTACTCATTATAAGCAAGTTCACGTAGACCGTAAAAGTTGAAATAACAATGTTGTTGTTGCCTCGAGGAATAGAACGAAATAATAAATAAAAACATGTTTTTACAACACAGTCACTTGACAAAGTGAAAAAATATTTATTTTGTACTTAACTGTCCCTCCTCCCCACCAGAGATATATCCAACAATAGATTATAATACTACTTTTTTTTAAGGGGGGAAAATCATCGAATGACTGCTCCCGCCTGCGTGGGGCGGGAGGGAGTGTCAGACTCTTACTGACTAAAACCACCCCGTTCCTTCTCCTGCACGTCGAGCCGGAGCCCCGGATTATAATACTACTACAGACTACTCACCAATTCCTTAAAAAATTATATTCTTATTTTTCTTTTGTATTATTATATTTATCTTACTGAAAGAGACTGGGCCTCACGACACAGGGATCCTAGTGTGGAGTCCAGGGCCATACAAAAATGTAATGTAAAGCTTTTTTTCAATAAACATATTTTTATTTATCAGAGACGTCAGGCGCGGTAACTAAAGAATCTGGGTTAACAGAATTTATAGCTAAAGATTAAAATCCTGACTGTAACTAAAACTCAAACTCGCCTACTACGA